ATTTTTATTCATGCTAAAAATAAGTATGATTATGTAAAGAATTTGTTTGCGTATTATTATACATTCTATATAGTTTCCCTGTGATAGTAAAAATAATACACTTGGACAACCTCTACGCTCATATCACAAAGCCTGATCCACTTGCGCTACTGAAGCAAATTGGTAATTCTTCTGCTATAACGACATTAACAGAAAGACTTAACTTCAAACTGTATTCTCAAAACGTTTAAGATTTGCATCGTTTTTGGATAGCATTTATCACTATTACATCAATATTATACTTTTCTAAAAGCAAAATCGCGCGGTGATTTCAAGGATGAAGATTCCTCTTGTGTGAGATATTAATTATTCATTCTTTATTAATGGAAAAGATTTTCCTTTGGTTTAAATGTTCAAGAAAAGTTATTTATTCTCTGAGAATCTTTCAATTTTTATGTTCGTGAAAAGTTTATAAAATTCGTAAAGAAAGAAATTATTTTACTACCTACCTGTTCAAGAGTTGCGCATGAGAGATATTTTAACAAATCTGAATCTGAATCAGTCAACACATTAATTTTTCATTCAAAGAAGCATATGTAGGGTAAGCATAAGTAAGATAAGTATAAATAATAATTAAAATATTCTTCTCTCGATATAATAATAATATTTTTTCTTTAGTTGAATCGTTGAATAAATATTCTATTATAAATTGACTTTTCGGATTACAATATAAATTTGATTTTTCAGAGCTTTCAAATTGACTCTTCGGAATACGCTATTAAATTGACTTTACGGAGTACACTTTTAAATTGACTCTCCTGAGTATAACATTTTTTAGTTGACTCTGTGGAGTACACATTTTTAATTAACTCTTCGAAGAGAAGAAAAGAGAAACATTTTATATTTTATTTAAAATATCTTACTTTTTGCAAAAAACTGATTGAAGAAAAAATAAATTCACGACCTCAAACGAAGATCTTAAAATATTACTGCAAAAATGAAGTTGTTGTTATTATATACCATTGTACAATATTAAAACATACGCGCAATAATTATCTATAATTTGGATATATGGTGGGTTATGTAATTATAAGTAATATACAAATCATGACAAATTAATGTGGCCGTGCGTTATCTTTGTCGGTTATTGCTAGAAATCGTCCGAACTTTCGAAATAATTTTCTTCCTGAATTATGAATATAAAGCAACGAGAAAAGAAATCGGGGGATGAAAGGGGGGACGCCGACGTCTGTCTTACGATAAGGATCGCTGCTGGCTCGCTTCAGTTTATCGTCCGCGATTGTCTATTTCGCGGTGGTGAGACAAAGACCGATTCTCCGTTTTTATCTAACTAATCTAGCTCGCTCGTGAACATAGCACAGAACAGAACCAAATAATTATGGACATAGCACGGAATAGTACCAACACATCGTGGACATTAACTTAGTAGTTGTGTTCCATGAAAAA